CTCAATGGCGTGGAGATCGATAAGAGCAGAAACATCGGAATAACGACCTTGATGAAGAACTACATATTGTTGAATTACGAAAGAGAAATCGAGTTTGCAGAACTCCGGATGGGAGTTTCCGCCTATAGCCTTTGACGATTTCAACTTTTGCGTGCCTCTCAACGTGCCTACTCCTTGGTTTCTGCGAAGATTACAAGCGCATAGTGATAAACGCGCGACACAAACTCATTCTGCTACGTGCTCGCAACGATAATAATTTCGTTGTGGCGCATCCAGATCAGAAATTAAAGATCACGCTGTTGAGAATACAATGGCGAATAACGTCATATTAAACGACGTCACCAAACTGTCGCTTCTGCGAACATTGGAGAGCGGACGATATCTGAGTGAGACGAAATGGGCTTTCGTTCGTAGCATCTGTACGAGTTTCTCCTACTGCAAAGTACGACAAATGCAAGCATTCGTGGGCCGTAAAAGCGGCGACGCAATTGGGGAAACCGCGATATGTGATCTTCACTCTACAAACCGGAAGGAAAAACGTACCGATGGAAAATGTTTCCAAATTCAACGCTTGCAAGCTGACCAATATGAAACTCTATTTGAATATCGAATTTTGTCTTTACGACGATATGAATCTAGATTTCGAACATAACAAGTTTGCCATGCTGTACGATATGTATCTGAGATTTCAAAAAACATATTACTGCGAACCGTTCCTGACTATCACAGATTTCTGCAATACGGTCCGCTCGTGGTCGATTGCTCTCGCCAGAATGAATTGATTACGAGCGCCATCGTCGACATTCGCGTGCAAGAATTCGAATGCAAGGAGTTCCGGTTAATATCACGGCCTATTGTCTCATCATTCACGATGGAGTACAACTTCCTGACGAACGTCGTGCGCAAACTCGTAAACGGGAAACCACGGTTTTTCTTAGAGCGCGATATCGATTTCCTTCTCAACGATAACGAAACGTATAAAGAAGGAGAATAGAGCGTGAAAATATCGAATGTCCCCCGTCTCGCGATAATGTCGAGCGTATCGGTCTTCGTCGATCTGCAAGATTTTACCGTTCGAGGAAAGTTCATGGTTAAAGAGATGGCGATATTGAGGAATGGAAAAGAGCTGATCCATCGAATGTTTCGAGAAGCGATATTCTGGAATCTTCTCACGAAGGCGGATAAATCCAGGGCGTGCTGGGTGCCAATCATCACAACCTGCAGCGACGTCGACGTCGACATCGCCTATAGATTCTCGAAATCCGTGATTCGAAACAGCGTGTGCGATCGATCGCGAGACACGCCTAGACGAGTGTACATCAAAGGTTTGAAGAAGAAGAAGTTGTTGAAGGAAATTCTCGGCGACGCCATCGCGGACCACGACGTGATCGTCGAAACCATCAACGCCGATTTCGAGAACACCGGGCGCCTGAACATCCTGGACGATGTCCGCACCTTTCACTGCGAGCGTCACAATAATAATTGCGCCATGGAGAATGTGTGCAAGCTGTACAACTGGTGGTCGAAACGACAGGAATATGTCACGGAATTGTAATATTGCGTCAACGATTTATGTATTATTTGATCAAATTATATCAAATTATATCAGATTATATCAAATTATATCAGATTATATCATATTATATCAGATTTTATCATTTATATCATATTAGATTAATAATTGTATTATTCGTATCAGAGTATTAAAATAATATCGAGTTAATATTGAAAATATAAATAATCTACGTATAAGATATTATATTCTATTGCTTGATCTAATCAATTGCTTATATCAATTACATAAACGCATGGGGAAGTAAAAAGAAATAAAAAGACATTTGTACGCAATAGTTTTCTCATTTATTTCATCTTAATCTTACATCCCAAAGAACAGAGCAACAAATTCGCAATCGATAATGTCGTTACGAAAGCCTCGCTATCGCGTATGACTCTCGAGACGTTCTCGGTGTCTTTGGCAGTGGACGCAATATCCTTGAAACGCGCCAATTTCGCGTTGATTTTTCCTAGTATTTTAGTCAACGAGATAACGAATCGATTGATGCAATGCTCGAGCTCGAACATGTTATTCACCGTTTCCTTCGATATGACTAAGCAAGCTGCGGGCGTTTCCAAGCGTAATATCGTCAGGTTGTTAATTCTTCTGAAACGCAGTTATATTTCCGATGCGCGACGGGGCCGAAAAGGACAGTTCTCCATTGATACTCTGCAGATACTTCGAGAGAACGCGTCGTTGCTCGAGGAGTTCCCTCCACGTATCGGGTGACATCGAGATCTCCTTGCCATAATCCTCCATATCTCCCAGAATAATGTTCACGCGCGAGGGACATTCGAGGGTGATGCATACGTCGAGAAACTTGTATCCCGTTTTACTCAAGGGATATTCGTTCTAGAATTCTAATTGGACTAATCATATCACCAAAATTGTTATAACTCGATGCGACCGTCCTGTCGTCATCGAGCGTTCTCTTCTTCTTCCTCGCGCCGTTGTCGCTCTCGTTGACTCGATGCGCCTCGGATTCTTGCGAGTGTTCGATACCGTACATTTTTATGACCGAAGAGATCGCGCGATACTGATCGTTCATTTCGTTCGTAACCATTCCATATTCTTCGCTCTATACGATGTATTCATGAAAATTCCCGTTCCTTCCTCTCTTTGTTTTCCAAATCGTTCTCGCTCGAAAATACATTCTTCATCTAAGCGAGTCTTTTCAGAAGAGCGCGCAACTGTTCTAACAGTCCGTTCCTTGGACACATGATACCAAACATCTCCGCGTTGAATTTTTCGACTATAGTTACACTTCTGGTAAACTCATTGTACTTAAAGAATTGTCGTTTAACGATAAAGTACAGATTACCGTCGATCGAACGGCGGACGTTATAGCGGGTGGAATCCCCGGAAATATTGTGTGCAACGAGTTATGTCTGACGACTATCATCGAGCAATCGTCGATCTCGGCCACGATCTCGTCGTTGTAAATCGCAAACGTTCGTCCCGCATTGGTATTAACTATAGCGTTGATTCTTGCATTAGGAGGAAGATTCATATCCTTCAGTTTCCTCAGCCACCCCGATACTAGCTCGAAACTCGGATATTTGATCATGTAAACCGTATCGTTTACGAACAACACGAGTTGGCCCGAGGGTCGATACGCGTCCGTCAAACGTGAAGTTGTCGAGAAGGAAACACAGATAGTTCGTCAGTAACAACGATCTGTAAGATTTTCCATTTGCGCTACCGATCACAAGTGGCATCGATACATACATTCTATCTTCTAACTCCAACACCGGGTCGACGCGTCGCAACGCGCACAGATCCACGTTCGTCGAGCCATCTCTGCGCGTCGCAATCGTCGCTGGTACCGATCTCAAGACTTCGCTCTTGTTCTTTAAACCATATAAATTCTGAATGGCGAGAAAATCCGCCTCGCTCAAACGCACGGGAAAAGTCTTAGAGAAAACGTATATTATTGAAGGCGTATATTATTGAATCCTTCTGAGGACTGTGGTGTAATGAAACGTGACCGGTCTCGTGTGTCAACATATACAGTAGATGAAACGTGTTGGTAGGATCAGCTCGATGCCATTTCTCCGAGTTATCTACGTGCACTTCCGACACCTCGGACGATGCCGACGAAAGAAGCGTAAGCTAGCACGTTATCAAGTCCGTCCAG